ATTGATTTCAAATATCTCTGGAGATTAAATAAATGTCATGACAAAATTCAACCTCTTGAAGAGGTCGCTTCTGAAGAGTCAGCTCCTGAAGAGCCAACTCCTGAAGAGAATGAAATCATAGAAAATTTAATTGGAGCCTAATGAAATATAGCACTTGATATTATAGAAGTTGATGAGGATCATGAATCTATATTGGTTGATGAATGTCGGTATAGAAATGATTGTTCAAAATGAAAAGATGCGATCCAATCTGAATTGGACTCACTGGCTAAAAGAAAGGTTTTTGGACCTGTAGTCCAAACACCTGAAGGTGTAAAGCCAGTAGGATATAAATGGGTATTTGTGAGAAAAAAAATGAGAAAAATGAAATTGTGAGATATAAAGCAAGACTTGTAGCTCAAGGATTTTCACAAAGGCCTGGATTTGATTATAATGAAACGTATTCACCTGTAGTGGATACTATTACATTTAGATATCTTGTGAGTTTTGCAGTACATGAAAAATTAGATATGCGTCTAATGGACGTCGTTACTGCATATTTATATGGGAATCTTGAAAATGATATTTATATGAGAATTTCCGAAGGATTCAACATGCCTGAAGCATGCAAATCAAATCCTAAAAATATTTATTCTATTAAATTACAAAGGTCTTTGTATGGGCTCAAATAATCTGGACGTATGTGGTATAACCGTCTCAATGAATGTCGGACAAAAGAAAGTTATACCAATGATCTAATATGTCCATGTGAACAAGATACAAAAGTCCATGTGTTTTTATTAAGAAAAATGGATCAAATTTTATGATAATTGCTGTATATGTTAATGATCTAAATTTGATTGGAACTCCTGAAGAGATTCAAAATAGTGTTGAATATTTGAAGAAAGAATTTGAGATCAAAGATTTTGGAAAGACAAAATTCTGTCTTGATTTACAAATTGAGCATTTGAAAGGTGGAATTTTTGTCCACCAAACTGCTTATACCCGGAAGGTATTAAAGCGATTTTATATGGATAAGAAATATATATTAAGTACTCCAATGGTCGTCAGATCATTAGATCCTAAAAAGGGTCCTTTTAGATCGCAAAAGAAAGATGAAGAGATACTTGGTCCTGAAGTACCATATTTCAGTGCAATTGGCGAAGAATATTGGAATGCGACGATTAAAAGATCTCAAATAATGTTTGCATCAGGGGGAGAAATTAATGCACAAGAATAGTGCACTCTTTTTCCTTCACTAGGGTTTTTGTCCCGATGGGTTTTTCCCTGGTAAGGTTTTAACGAGGCATATTCTTTGTGTAATGGACATCCAAGGGGGAGTGTTATGAAACAATTAAAAGTATGGATGTCCCTTTGTATTCCTAAGAGGATTAATTCTTGATTTTATGGCTACATTATGTATAGAAGTTACAATCCATAAATCTATTCATGTAGTGGAGAAACCGTTTCATAGGTTTCTTCATATTATTGTAGTAGTGGATGTTTAATAGGATTTATGTACCTTTAATGTTGTAGTGCCTATATATAGAGGTACATTGACACCCTTTGGTAAGGACTTTTGTATCTTGTTGAAATATAAGGATATCATTCTCCCTTTCTCTACTCCTTCTCTAATACTTTTTCAATTCCTATTGTAGTATCTTCATTTTATTAGTTTTATAACAGCTATATCTTTTTCAATTTTTATATACTTGACAAATAAAAGAAATTAGACATAATGCACTTGATAAATTAAAGGATTTAGACATGAGAAACAATTAAGACATTTACAAAGTAAATTAACCATAATTTGAACTGTAAAAAGGAAAATCTAATTTGGCATATAAAAAGAGATCCAATACTAGGCATCCTTTTCCTATTTATGTACTTGACAAATAAAGGAATAAAATAAAAAGAGATATCACTTGGGCTAATTTTTCTTATAATTGTGGTGATAACAAGAATCTTAAGGTATAGAAAAAAAAATTTATTTCTTTAAATCTTGAAAGTTGTTATTTTTTGTTATGGATGATAGAAAGTTTTTGTTGATCATATGTAGTAATGGCCCAATAAGCGAATTAACAAGTTATATCAAATATTCAATCTAACTAGCATAATAGTTGAGTGGCACTTTTGGCATAAACAAATCATCTCACACCTGAAAACCATAAAATTGGATTGAAATTCTTTTACGGTGGCATCATTTTTTTTTGTTGAATTTATTATAGTTCTTAATGAATGTACTAAATTGTATCTGCTACACTCAGCAAGCCTGAAGCAAATGAAATAGTCAACAGAAGGATCCAACGAATCGTTAAAAGATCCAATGAAATTATAAAGAAAAGCTCCATGAATTAGAAATACCTGTTTTGAAGTTGCATTCCAGAGAGAATCAATTACAAAGTATTATTCCCACCGCTATGAACTAAATGGACTTAAAATAAGACTCAAACTAAACTACAAATAAAGAGAAACTAATTGAAAACTGCTATTGACGAAAAGAGAAAAAATGATATGAAGAATGAGTGGTTGTTGTTGTTGACAAGTGTGTATTCTTTTTCTGATCGCGTTCTCAGTCTTTATACGAACATATCAATGAATTTGCCTCCAATTTTGAGATGGGAATTTTATCTCCTTATAAACTCCTTAACGATTCATCATTTTTTCCCTTATGACAATAATTATCTTTTGGCCTTTTTGTTTTAGGCCTAACAGTATGTACAGAGAAGTTCTACGCAATGTTTTAAAGCCCAGTTTGGACCATCCGGTTGAAGCATCAACACTATTATTTCTGAGTCGGATTAAACTTCAAACATAGAGGAATAAAAAAGCCTCTACAAATGAAAATGAATTGGTTTGCCTGGTTGAACCAGTGAATCATCGAACTGAAATGGTTCTTACTAAACTACCCCCAGCCTTACCACTCTTAAAAAGCTGAAGAGAGAGAGAGAGAGAGAGAGAGAGAGAGAGAGAGATTAGAATCTCTTCCAAGAGAAGAAAAACGGTGCCTAGGAGTACAAGACAATCAGGACTTGTAATAAATTTTTTTCTATTAAATCATCATACTTATTTTAGGGTTTTAAAACTATCTTATATTTGAGTAACTGACAGGTGTCGAGCCTGTGTAATAATAAATATCTGCTTAAATAAAGTATAAATTTTGTATACAGTGGTAAGTAGGGTCGAATCTACAAGAATTGGAAAAATTCGTTTCTCATCGAGTTCAAAGTATGAGAGATTTTTATAGAATCGAGAATAATCAAATAACTCAAATAAAATAAATAAATAAAAACTGAATGACAATTTATTAAAATTGAATCAAGAATAACTAAGCTCTAGACAAGAAATAACTTCGGAGATGATTCACTCAATTGATCATCGATGCAATGATAATTTCATTTATTCACTGATAAACAAGTTATAACTGCCAAACACGCGATGACAATTAACTTTTCTTACTGTATCGGTGACCAAGGTACGACCGTTAATCGCTTCCTTAATCAAGAAATAATTCTAAGTATGACCATATAGTTCAATTTCTCAATTACCTTAAGAATTAGAGAAGCTCTGTTCTAACCAAATAACACACTACGAGGGTTATTTTAAATTAACCCATATATTTCCTCTAACACAAATCCAATCATGCCAGTCATCACTAATTTAAAGCAATTAAATAATTACATATTTAACTGTTCTAACTGGTTTTAGGTTATTAGATTAAATTAAATATCGGGCACCTTTGATATTCAAAAAAAATAATAATCATAAGAAATTAAATTAGAGAACATACAAATAGTCGAATACTAGTAAAAAAAGAAATAAAAATATTTAATTTGATCTTACAATTTTAAATGAACTAAATCCTCCATTATTCTTTGATTAGAAAAAAAGTCTAGTTCGTCTCCGTTAAGAAAGTCCCATGCAAAATTGCAGAATTAATTGTTGAAAGCATTCCTCTACCATTCGGATGAAGGTTTTGCGATGAATAATAAAAGAAAAAGTCGTCTCTCGCCCTCTGTTGCGGCCGACCCCGCCAAAAAGCAAAAGATAAGCAAACCTATTCTAAGTTGACTTCTCTTATGACTAGTCATCCACCGCCACACAAGAAAGGAAAGGTATCTAATTGATTAGTTTCCTATTCTTACTAAACCACTATTGCTAATTCAAATCAATTTAGAAAGTCTATAACAAATCATACCGATTAGTATTTTTTTGCTTTTTATTCAAATCTCTGCAACTAGCACAAATGACCGAAAGTAAATAAAATTTGCCAATTAACGCAATATTTCGTAAGATAAAAGAGGGAAACAGTTATAAAATTAATGATTAAATTGCAACATATCAGCAACATTAATTTTGTGTCATTTCACCTTTTTAAAATTACAATTTAGCTCTAAATTATTTATAAATTTTAAAATTTCTTACAAACTTTCGTGTTTCTTATCACTAAATCATTTTAAAAAAAAATTGTCTGAGTAGCAACTTAATTTATATGACTTTCCAATAGTTATTCAAAAATTTATGTTTATATCATTAGAATTTCATGTTTTATTAAAGTTAGGTTCTTCTTCTTTTTTTCTTTTGTCATGATTGGTGCAAGGTAACTGTCTTCTTTGTTTTTGGATTTGTTGTAATTGTCAAAGTAGAATTATTCAGTCTATATTGCATTGTTATTTTCATCGATGATTCTGGGCTTGCTTCTCATCTTGTGGCTTTGTTGAAGGGATAGGTTGGGCTTCTTCATGTGAATTTGGTCTATTAATTGGGCTTCTTGATGTTCGACAGCCTCTTTTGGTTGGATGGAATTTTGTAAACTTAATTCGGCTATTGAGTTTTGCAAATTGAAAATAGTGCTAAAGAAAAAAGAAAAACACGAAGCATAAATTAACATTCCAAAGAAAACTTATAAAACTAAGACCTGGCTATTGAGTTTTTGGTTTTGCAATTAATAATGGGCTTTGGAAGAGACTTCGACAAACGTGGGATTCGGGGATTAAGCATTTGGAGGTTGAGTCAAACTCTAAAGCAAGGGTCCATTTAGGCCATTTTAGTCTCTTATTGAAAGTTTCGAAATTTCCTAAGCAGAAATTGAAAGTGCAAACGTAAGATTAGTTTTTGTCTGCAACTTGGTGTTATTCTTTTATCAAATTCACCAGATGCAAATAATTCGTCCTTATCATCCAATGTGATAAGAAAAATTAAAAAAAGAAAAGAAAAATTCCATTCTGCTGATGCATGATAGTGATATGTAGCAAGAGAGAGAGAGCCGGGGGAGGGATTGATGGGGCACCGCAGTCTGCATTTAATAGGAGGCAAGATACCTGCAAAAACCAGAAACATCATCCAAGTTCAACATATCCAGTTCACCTATTAATTTAACATGGAGAAGAAGTTCACATGGCCTACATTGAGGATCAACATGTAGATATCAACCTGGAAATAATGAGCATTGTTGGCCTACATTGAGGATCAACATGTAGACATTCTCTTGCTAGTTTGAGAATGGACATCAGACACTTTTCAATTTGTTGATTGGGATACAGAAGTCTTTGGTCTAGCAAGTCTTTTAATTCTATGTCTTCAAGCTTTGAAGACATTAGATTAGCAATCAAGTCGCCAGGATGCTTTCCTTTGAGTACTTCCACTGTCAGGACCCCATAGCTATAAACGTCACACCTTTCGTTAACTTTCATTGTGTAGGCAAATTCTGCAAGAGAAAGTTGGAAAATGATTTTTCATGTTATGTGATCATACTTGAATTTACGAGTTAACAAACTAATGACAGGAAAGGGGGAAAAAAGAACTTTATTACCCGGTGCAACATATCCATATGTGCCTGCAAGAGAACTCCAGTTAGATGAGTCTCTTCTGAGAAACTTGGAAGTGCCAAAATCTGAAACGTGAGCCTCACATTCTGGATCAAGCAAAATGTTGTTGCTTGATATGTCTCGGTGTACAATTGGTGGTGAACAATCATGATGCATGTAAGATAAAGCATGAGCGACGCCTTTGATGATATTCAGCCTCTTTTGCCAGTCTAGTTCCTTAGCTGCTTCTTCTATGCTCAAGATTTTGGCCAAGCTTCCTCTTTTGAGGTACTCATAAACCAAAATTGAATGCTGAGCATTTGAGCAGAAGCCAAAGAGTTTCACAATGTTCCGATGCTTGATTTCTGTCAAGGCCCTGATCTCATTCAAGAAACTTTTATCCTTTCCCACATTGGGTACGTTATGAAGTCTCTTTACAGCTACTACCTCGCCTGATGGAAGCTGTGCTTTGTAAACACTTCCACAACCTCCTTTCCCAATGCAAAATGTTTCACTGAACTCTTCTGTAGACCTCACGATTTCTTTATACAATGCTTTGCCATCATAAGCACATATGGCAAATAAACCGCCCTTCTTCACCTCCATATCTTCCGCTCTCGAATTTCTTTTTCTCCGATCATACAATTTGAGAGTACCGAACAATGCACCAAGAAGTGTGAATGATCCCACAAAAGGCAATACAATTATGAGAACAAGTTCCTTGCTTTTATCCTTGACATGCTTTTTAATCAACCGAGAACTTTCACAGGCTCGTAACCCTGTAATATTGCCACACAAACCTTTATTTCCCTTTACTTCTTCTAAGGTTAGATTCACAAAAGCTCTACCACTCGGAATTGGGCCCTCCAAATTATTAAAAGAAAGATTGATGTGCAATAAACCAGGCAAATCTGCCAAAGCCTTTGGGATCAAACCAGAGAGGTTATTCCGGGAGAGATCCAATGTCCCCAAACTCTGCAAATTTTGAAACTCAGATGGTATCGCTCCTGTGAAGAGATTTTGACTCAAATCTAGCTCAGAAAGTTGGGTTAACTTCCCAATCTGCAATGGAATCTTTTGACTTAAAACGTTATTGCTCAAGTTCATGTGAAACAAGTGTTTCAAATCTCCCAGAAGTTCTGGTAAAGTTCCATTCAAGGAGTTTGTGGACAGGTCTAGAAATTCCATTAACACTCCCAATTCTTGAGGTATACCACCAGTAAGCTGGTTGTCATGTAAATCTAGTTTAAGCAAAGAAGTTAACTTCCTAACTTCTCTCGGTATCTCCCCTGATATATAATTCGAAGAAAGATTAAGTGTATGTAGTTGAGTCAAATTTCCAATTTCTGGAGGTATACCACCCGTGATGTTGTTCTTTGCAACTACAAGAGTTTTCAGTATTTTGCAGTTACCCCAGTTGCTGGAGAGTTTCCCATAGAATTTGTTATTGCTAAGATCAATGAAATCCAGGACTGGATAGATTCCAAACATTTCTGATAAGTTTCCTTGGAAACGGTTACCATCAAAACGGGCCCTAACTAAGCTTGAGCAGTTTTGCAAGCTTTTAGGGATTGGACCAGTAAGCATGTTCTCAGCTACAGAAATCTTTTGGAGAATTCCACTTTGACATAATAGTTCCGGCAATGGACCGGACAACTGATTTCTAAACAATTGCAAATTAACCAACTTACTCAGGTTTCCAATCTCTTGTGGAATGGTACCAGAAAATTGATTGTTTGGGAGAAACAGTTTTTCCAGGTTATTCAAGTTACCAATTGAAACAGGAATTGAACCATTAAATTGATTGTCAGAGAGATCCAGTTCAATCAAATTACTCAAATTTCCAATTGAAACAGGAATGGAACCATTGAGTTGGTTCTCACCTAATTCCATATGGGTAAGAAATTTCAAATCTCCAATTTCTTTGGAAATTGAACCTGAAATTTGATTTTCATAGAGATATAGTATAATCAAATTGGTTAAATTGCCCAGTGACTTTGGAATTGCACCAGTAAGATTATTTTGACACAAGGAAAGAAATTGAAGTGAGATCAGATTCCCCATCGCCACGGGAATGGGACCTGAAAGTTGATTACTTTCAAAATCTAAATGAGTCAAGTTTCTCAAGTTGCAAATTTCAGGCGGGATTTCTTGTGACAATTCATTAGCATAGAAATTAAGATAACTGAGCTTCGACAAGTTACCTATTTGTTTAGGTATACTGCCAAAGATCTGATTCTGGCTGAGATCAAGATATTCAAGATTTGGGAGGGATGAGAATGGGAAATCATAGAGGCTACCTTCAATGCTCCAATCTGAAAGGTTCAATCTGTTGACTCTTCCGTCAATGCAGGAAATACCAGCCCAAGTGCAAGGAAGGACAGACGACTTTTTGGCGTTGATGGATTGAAGGTTCCATGAGGTTAGGAAGCTGTTGTTCTGGTTCTGAAAACTGGCTTTCCATTTCAAAAGAGCAGCAGCCTCTTCAGCAGAAGCTGAAGCTCCACATTTGGGGTGAAAAGATGGGAAATGTAGGAGGACCAAAAGGAATGTGGAGACTATTTTGAAAGAACCCATGATTACTTTCAAGTTCAACTCAAGTTGGCAGACGCTGTTACTCTGCACCACAAATGATGCTAGTATTTATCCTAATGCACATGGAAGACTTCAGAAGGTCTTCTTGCTCTGTCCCCGCCTTCTTTGTCTTCATTTAGTTTTGAGATTGAAACACATAAGATGTCTATTCCAATGGGTCAAGAATTTTAAAGCAATGAAATTTTAAATGAGATTGACCATTTTTATCTTCTACCACTAATTTTTCCTGCTGAATCTACAGAAAAAGGTGAGTCGTGTACCTCTTGGAGAAGGAACACTTATCACCTGATTCCTTAATGACGATGAACCTATTGGCTGAGCAAATTATGTTATAGTTCTATATATTTTCTTGACATGGATTACGCAAAGTTACTTGACAGTATATTTTCATGAAATGCAATGGAAGTCAGAAATTGCAGAAAGCTAATTGCTGATGTAACGAATGCGTTGCAAAATTTTTCCACTTAGAAAGTTAGTTGGGTGCCCTTGAGATGGTAAAGCATGCTAGTTCAATTGATGATTCTATCATCTGGGGGGATTCTCCTCCACATTTTGTACCGTCCACTCTTTATGTGGACTCCTCAATTTATTAATATTACAGGCTTTTTTCTATCAAAAAACATATATTTGATTTTTATCCATATTGATATGTAAATCAAAATAAAAAAAAACATAAATATATTTTAGATAATACCATGTAACGGCATCAATAAGTTATTATATAAATCCAAGGACACAGAACTATTTGATAAGGTTCAACTAAAAATTATCTTGGGACAGAGCAGTCATGCTTGTTTTCAATCAAATTTGAGCCTTTGAGGCTGGCAAACGTACAAAGGACTTTTACGTATCCCAGTCTTTAAGGTATAAAGATGCATTGCAGTATTGCACCGACTCCTTCCTATCATGATTCACGATGCACCAATGTGGGGACTGGGGTGGCAGGTAGGGCCACCAACTGCTGAAATTTTAAAACTCTTAGTTTTTGGAATTGAAATTAGGGGATAAAAGAGTCTAATCAAACAAGCATCTTAATGTTCAAAATTTTTTATTATTTTTAATAAATTTGAAATTGTGCTCAATATTGGTTTGTTTATTTACAGAGCTGAAATTAAATGAATATTTATCAAATCAAACTCAAATCCAACTTTAGCAAATTGAGCTTTTTTACATGTAAATTATATTTTTATTCTAATAGAATCAAGTTCGAGTTGAGTTTTATAATTTATCGAATACAAAATATTGTTTAACTCTAATTTGAGTAATTGGAAAATCAAACTCGAACAAGCTCTAATCAAACCGAACTTGATTCGAGTATCAAAAAATTTGATTTGTTTTTCAGCCCCTATTAGCAAATTATTTCTTTTCAAGTGGATCCTTAGCAAAATTAGTTTTTGTCACCTGACAATATGTTTAAAATCAAAATTGGCCCTCCGAAGTCTTGTACATGTCCAAGTTTGCTCCTCCTGCGATTCCCAGCTCCCCCACCATATTCATTGCAAAGACTTCCCCTTCTTCAATTGTCTCCATTTCCCTTCTTGTCCTCCATCAAAGACAAATGCTTTTGCAAGTCTTCGAAAATGAAGGTAAACGAAGGACCAAAAGGAGTAGGACCAAAAAGAATATGAAGACTGCTTTTGCAAATGCTTTTGCAAGTCTTCGAAAATGAATGTAAACGTAGGACCAAAAGGAATATGGAGACTGCTTTGCAAATGCTTTTGCAATGCATGTTTGAGCACAGTGGCTAAATGAAAGGACTTGGAAAACTTGACCGAGTCAGCTATTTGGCCTGTCAATTAGCCACTTGACCAAGGTAGGTAGATTATGTTAAATAGAGATGACATGTTGTCAGCCTGTGCAAAATAAAAACCTGCTCAAACTAAAATTAATTTCTGTAGATAGTGGTAAGCAGGGTCGAATCCACAAGGACTGGGAGTAATTGTTTCTTTTTAAATTCACAGTGACAAAGGGGGATGTTTTTATCTCAGGGGTGACAATTTAACCAATCCAACTAAAAGTAAAATAATAGAAATAAAATAGCCAACTAGAAATTAAATAACAATTTACTAAAATCTAATGAGTGATAATTAAGGATCTAGCCAAGGAATAACTTCAGCAATGGTTCACCTAATTGATCATCGAAGCAAAGGCAACCCCAATTATTTACTAATAAATAGGTTATAACTGCCAAACAAGCGATGACAGTCAACCCCTCCTTACTGTGTCGGTGATTAAGGTACGCCCGTTAATCACTGCTCTAATTAGGAAATAATCCTAGGTACGCCCGTAAGATTTAATTTCCCAATTGCCTTACGTATTAGAGGAGCCCTATTCTAACCAAATAACACACTACCAGGGTTATTTTAAGTTAGCCCGCGTATCCCCTTGACACGAAGCTAATCGTGCCAGTTGTCACTATTTCAGGACAATTAAACAATTACGGATTTAATGCCCTAATTGACAATAGGTTACCAGATCAATTAATTATCCGGATCCAAGACAACCAATTAGTTGAATAACCATAAGCGTAGCAATCAAGGAATATACGAATACCAGTAAATACAAGGAAAAGATTAAATTAAATCGATCTCACAATTTTTAGGCGAATCAGAGCCTTCGTTGCTCCCTAGCTAGAATTGGAAAATTAGTTCATAATTGATGAACTAAACTCACCAGAAATTGAAGATAAAGCTGCGGCCATTGTCATTGATTTTTGAAAACTCAATCCGTTCCAACCAGAAGGAGATAGCAAAGTTACACGAAAGGGTCCTCTGCCTCACTACGGATGGCATACGAGGAAAGATAGAAAAACTCTAAGCATTTAACATGAAGAAAAGTCAAGAGCTACCAATTTCTAATGCCTGCCATGCGTATGACAAGCAAAAAGCATCTTTTAGGGGAAAAGTCAACAACCTCAAGCTAAGCTACAGACGGAAAACTAAAACTAAGCTCTCCCACATCTGATCCTGTTTTTCCTCCTTTATTGCGGCAGCTCACCAGGAGGAAGAAGCCCTTCGTCCGTCATTCCTTTGCCGAAATTACCAAAGTGGGCGTGACATCTTCTTTTCCAGAAATGTCCCTGGGACAAGCTTCTATCATCTGGATTCCTTTTCTGTTAAATTGGCACCTGTTGTCATTTTTTCGTTCTACTCCCTGAAATAAGTGCAAATTACGAAAAGTGAGTAGAATCTACTAATTAATCCACATTAAGTCAGATAATAGGGGAAATTAATAATAAAATAAAAGAGATAACTACACCCTATCAAGAGACTCTTCGCCACTATCTTCACACCTTTTTTCCAAAGGTTTTTACACAGTAATTTTTTCCCTTGAACAATAAAATTGAAACATTTGTCAATTCATCTAATAATCCTTTCTCATATAAAACAAATTTTTACTTGTTTTGCAACAATGAGTTTTAAAAACTATTTTTATTTAAAAATATTAAAAACAGCCATAGAAAATGGATTAAAATTCTTTTACAGTGACATCATTTAATTTTTTTTAATTCTAATTCTTGGTGAATATACTAGATTGCATCTACTACACTCATTAGGCATTGAAGCACATAAAATAGTCAGCAGAAGAATCCAAAGAATCATTGAAAGGTACAGCCAAATGATAAAAAAAGAAAAATCAGAAATACCCGTTTTAAAGTTACACTCGAAAGACCACAATTACAAAGCATAATTCCAATCACTGATAGACTATGAACAAAATTGACTAAAAATAGGACTCAAATTAAACTTCAAACAAAAAGAAACTAATTGGAAACGAAAAAGAAAAAAGCTAATTGGAAACTGCAATTGACTAAAAAGGCGAAAATAATATGAAAAACGAGTGCTGTTGCTGTTGGCAAAGGTCCAAAAACTTGTACTCAATCTAGATGAGGACCTATCCGGCTATCCCAGTCCTCAAGAGTCAAGGCATAAGGATGTATTGCTTTGTCTCTCTCTTGTCTCGATGCACCAACGTGAGGAACGGGGTGGCAGGTGGGGTGACCAACCATTTATTTTTAAAATTTTTATTTTTGATATTGGAACTAGGAGAGCAAACTAATCTACTTAAACTGACTATTTTAATGTTCAAAATTTTATTTGTTCAACATTAGTTTGTTTATTTAAGGAGCCAAACTTGGACGGGTTTTTAGTTAACCAAACTCAAATCGAGGTCGAGGAGATTAAACTTTTTTTACACGTAAATTCCACTTTTATGATAATAGAGTCAAGTTCGAGTCGTGTTTGACAATTTGTCAAACACAAAATGCTATTTAAGTTTGGTTTAAATAGTTGGTGAAACGAAATTCAAATGAACTCTTACCGAGCCAAACTTAATTCAAATATCAAATAATTTATTTCATTTCTTTGCCTTTATTGGAGTATTATTTCTTTTCAAGTAAATTCTTACCGAACTAAACTCGATTTGAATATCAAGTAATTTAGTTTTTATCACCTGATAATTTACATTGGAATTTTGTGGAAGAAGGTGAAGGGGCAGAGAGGATTGAAACTTGAAAGAATAAACTTGAAGCAACAAACCTAACTAAATTAGTGTAGAAATCTTACATTCCAAGCACTTTTCCTTATGTGGATAGGAAATTTAAGGAAAACCAAAATTTTCTTAAGTTGAAAATTTCGAAGTTAAAGAGTCTGATATTCAAATTTTAGAAAAAAAAATTATTAGAATATGACATTTTATGAGTAGACATTCCCATAGGAAGTGACACACCGATATAAATAACCAGTAATTCATATCATTACTATTATACTATTATGTAGGTATAATATGTAACCTCTTACAAAATTTTAAAGTAAGGAAAAAGTTGTGAACATCTAGAGATTTAGGATTGGGGCTAGGTATAGGTCTTAAACTTGTAAATATTTTTTCGCTGACCCAAAATCAATTTTCCTAAGAACTTGTACCAAGAATCTCTATTCAATTTCTTGAAAATTTGTTCAAAATAGTATTTTTATTGCCAAAATGCGCACCCCCAATCGGACTGCAGGCTTTTTAACTTCCACGAAACTGTACATTTAATAGTACAAAGATTGTTGACAAAAAACCAGGATTTCATTAGAATAATACGTTCCCCAATTTGATCCATGAATAATTCCAAACAGACTAAGTAAGCCCAAAAGATGCTTGAAAACCAGATCAGATGAGGCTTGAAATCAAAGTTCTAAGCATATTTAATCTTTCAAACAATGACCCTGGTTGCATTCTTCTTTTGTTCTCAAATTGGTAATCCTATCACAGCAAGAGCAGTTGCAGAAGTTTGTTCTTGGATCATAAAGCTGCAATGTTCTCAATTTATCACTTTTCATTTCTGTTGCTGCTGAGTACATGCAACTTGCTTAGTATTTCATGCTACGGAAACACGAGTAGTAATGTTTCTTGCAATCAACTCGATAGTAACTCCTCGCTGTCAATATCAAAGAACATCACTAGTTCAACTCCTTTAAACTGGAATGTTTCAGCTGATTCCTGTTTCAGGGAGGGTGTTGGCTGTGATCGTAATGGTCAAGTGAATTGCATATGGTTGCCTTCAAGAAACCTTGAAGGAACAATCTCTACTTCAATTAAAAGCCTCAGCCATCTAAAAGAACTCAACTTTGCACATAATAAGTTATCTGTTCGTCTCCCTGATGGATTGTATTTGTCACTGAATAGACTGGAAATTCTGGACTTCAGCTATAACCGGCTATCTGAAGAATTTCAGCCATTTGATCACTTTCCAGTTTCCATCAAAATGGTTGATCTCTCAAGCAACGGATTCAGCGGGGTACTTCATTATTCATTCCTCCTGCAAGTATGGAGTTTGATTAGTTTTAATGTCAGCAACAACAGCTTCTATGGCCCTCTACCTACTGTCATCTACAACTTCCTCTACTCTTCAATTACTATTGTTAATTTTTCATTCAATTATTTTAATAGCTCTATTCCTAATGGTTATGGAAGATGCTCGAAATTGAAGATACCATGTGCAGGTCTCAATTCAATCACAGGATCTCTTCCTGATGATATATATCAGGTGTCAACTTTGCAAGAGTTATCCCTTCCAGGAAATGGAATATCAGGTCAGGTAAGTGAAGCCATTGGCAATCTTTCCAACCTCAAAATTGTTTTAACTTTATGGCAATAATTGGTCAGGTGCACTTCCTCGAGAGATTGGGAGACTTTCCAATTTGGAACAGTTGTTTCTTCACGTAAACAAACTGATGGCACTATTCCCTCAACACTGATGAATTGCACAAGACTCATAAAGCTGGATATAAGGGTGAACGTTTTAACTTGAGAACTCTCTGCTCTCGATTTCTCCAAATTGTTATCAGCTTCCCAGCAACTCTCACATTGTGTTGAGCTTTGTAACCCATATGCTTAACTAACCAGCTAACAGGAGGGATTCATCCTAACATAGAATTCCTGAAATCTTTGTCCTTCATCTCACTTTCAAATAATAGTTTAACCTATATCACTGAGGCGATGAATATTCTAAGCAGGTGAAAGAATCTCAGAACATTACTGCTCACGAAAAACTTCTACAATGAATCCTTACCCTATGATGGAAGCATAGTTGGTCCTGATGGATTTAAAAAGTTCTTGCCTTTGGTGGCTGCCAACTAAATGGCCAAATTGGGGAAATTAGAGGTTCATGGTCTTTATGAGTTCATATTAGAGGTCCAATGCTCAATTGGATAGGGACTTTGCCAAACCTATTTTACTTAGATTTCTGAACTTTCTCTCGGGTCCCCTACCAAGATCAGTTGCAAGATTGTCAAGACTAGCATCTGAGCTGATTGCTAATCGACTAGTCCGTGCATCCAATGAGTTGCCTGTGCTTCTTGTTCAGCCCATGAGCAGACACTTATATCTACATAATCAGCTTTCTAGATTGCCACTGGCTATATATCTGAATGGACATAATCTCACTGGAACCATTCTTGTCAGTATTGGCGAATTGCACGTACTTGATCTCAGTCACAACAATTTCACAGGCAGCATTCCTGAAACAGTATCTCACCTGATTAGCTTGGAAAAGCTGAGCTTTTCTGATAACTCACTTTTTGGTGAAATTCCTTCGTCACTCAAGAAACTGCACTTCTTTCAGCGTGGCAAACAACGATCTACGGCTCAATACCCACTGGAGGTCAGCTTGATACATTCTCAAAGGAAAGTTTTGGAAGGGAATCCACATTTATGTGGTTCAGTTTTTCAGCGCCCTTGCTCTGATCCACCAAATGCACCTGTACAAATGCAATCTTCAGAACATACGGAAAATTCAGAAATCAGAGTCACATTTTAGCTATTTTTTGTATTTCTTTTGATATTAGTTTCACTGTTAGTTTTATAACTTCTTGTACATTATCAAGAAAGTATCCCCCACTTTCCAACCACTATCTCAGGTCCTGAAAGCTGCATCCAAAACCACCCCGGCTGTAACTCTATACACATTTTTTTTAAGGTTAATCTGTGGCTGTAACTTGTAAGACTCTCTGTTCTTCGGGTTGATATATGCTTGTTACACAGAATTGCAGTTTACCAGTACAATTCTTTGAGCTTGTAGATAATCGTTCATCCACTCAAGAAAAGATAAAAATGTACGTAGTTAATGGAGAGGACACTCATAACATGAAATGGCTTCATTTAATTTCACAAATTTCTTTGATATAGAAACAGCCTAATGTTGGTAATAAAATGTATAGATTCTTTCTGTAGAAAGATAGTCACCAATCAACTGTAATTACACATGAAAGAAAGTACTAGCTTTCTGCATGACACAAAAGAACCATACCACTTGAACTAAAGTCAAATCTTCAGCATGAAAGAAGCTACTATATAAAGGCCCAATGCTGAAATGATTGAAATGAGTGTAGTCTTGATTGGCATCCTTCCTTTATCAGTTCTCAGAACCATGGCTTCAAAAACTGGCAAGCAATTTACCATACCAAAACCAGATATAAACAGCTGCACAAAAGAATCATCAAAGTTTTCTCCCTTCAAAATTTGCATGGTACCATGAAGGAGAGCAGCTAAATTGATGATTGCAGCTGTTGCTAATGGCAAAAAAATAGGTGAGGCAACACCAAACTCAAAAATCCCTCGATCATATCTTTTGCTTTGTTCATCATCTACTAGTTTGCTTGTGACATGGAATCCCTGTGTGGTGAAGCCCATGATTTTGATTAGGTATTCAAGGCTTCCAAACAATTCATTTGTGAGTCCTCTAATAAGCCAAATCCTTTGTTCACTCCACCACCTGCAATCTTGTCCATATGCCCCAAGAAATAGGAAAGCATACAAGATAAACCATGGATCGGAGACCTGCAATAATTTTGGAAGAATGAATTTAAGTTGAAAGAAAAGCCTGGGCCATAACATGATGCCCGAAGTTCCTGGACTTCTTGAACGTGTTTTTTCTGTCCCCATTTTTCTAAAATACCCAATTTTCTCAAGGATTTGTTACTCTATAACCTAATAAATGACCATGTAATAGTTGAAATCTCCGCCATAAAATTTCTCAATTCAGATACAGGCCATTTATTGGATTGAATATACGTATTCGATCAAGACAATTATCCGTCTATTGTGCAATGTGTTTACTCCTTTAAGCTGATCATCTTGATTTTTTTTTTTTTGGGTATCATCTTGATGTTATTGCAAGCTACTCAATTAAATAAAACTCATAATTGTAGACCGACTACATTTAAAGCCTCAAACTATTGTTTTAGGGATAAATATTTGCGTTTTGTAGTTAAAAAAAAACCAAAAAATAGTTTTTTCAAATATTTTTATTTAGAAACTTGCCATGGCTTACTGTTGATAGGATTTCCATGGACACAGATATTCTAGTACAAAATAAAGAGTCTGATAAAAAAGTATGACAGAGCAAAGTGAAGATTCAGAGTAATATAGATCTATGCACCGAGGAATTCCAACTAGTTTTGTGGTACATACCTTAGGAAATATATAGATTTTGTTGAGAAGAATGAGCTGAGGAAGAAAGGAATATGTGGTGATCGGAATTGACCAAATGGAATTAAAAGCATAATATGCATAACAAAGACTCATCAAGGGCCCCAAAGCTTGCATGCCAAAAGTTAATGGACTGTATCTGGAGAATGCAACCTCAAGAAGGCCAACACCCCACCGGATTTGTTGGTTTATTACATCGAGTAGGGTAATTGGTATATCTCCCAAAAATGCTGGCCTCTTTGGCTGGCAAAATATTGATATCCATCCTTGAGAATGAAGATGATAACCAGTGTAATAGTCTTCCACCAAAGAACCATATCTAAATCCAATCTGCATATTTAGTACCCAAAGGAGGGGTGAAAAACAAAAAAAAAAAAGAACCAACTGGATCAATAATAATTGTTAAAGGTGGAAAATGAAAAGGGAAAAGTTCAGCAAGAAAGTTCTACTCGTAAAGTTGGAGAAAATTAGATGCATTTCAGCTTTTTCAAAAAATTCTGTAAGAGAACACACTAATTTTTGCATTTCATGTTTTGCCTTCTTTTCAATTAAGTTCAAGCCAGTTTCTGCAAAAGATGCATACAATAATTGTAAGCATGATTTTCTGAAGACTAAGAGATTTTTCCGAGAAATCGTTTTCTACAGTCGACATAGAACACCCATGATTAATTGTAAACTCTAGAGCTTACTTAACAAACAACAAGATGAAACTAAGAGAAATGTGTATTGGGTGATTATTGATTCTATGAATAAACCTTTACAACAGACAAAATTGAAATTTAACCAGTTATTCACTATCTGCTAACATATAATCTAAAATTGGAGATAAAAAGACATTTTTTGATAGTTCAAGCAACTTTTGACACCAGTTTAATGCATTTTTCTTAATTACCCATAGTAAGTATGCTAGTATGTTATGGCCTGAAATCAGTCCAAATTGTCATGCACAAATGACTGGGATGAGTCAGCAAGGGAGTAGCACCAGAAATGTGATAGCAGGAAGAGAGTCACGTGGATTAGCAATTGGTATAACAGAATGAAGAGTAGTTATTTGGCGGGAAAAGTAGTTAGTTACTAGCAGGCTGTTCTTGAGCTCAAAGCTAAGATTTGTATAAATAATTCATCTGCAATTGCAGGCAGGGCATGTAATACGTTGTCCCAAATTTCTTTCCTAATCAATTCAATCCTTTCCTTTCCCTCTCTATTCCCTCTCCCTTATTTCTGATCTCATTCTCAATCCCTTTCCTCTTCTTCCCCTCCCTACCTCAGATATCTTTCAATTCATTTAGTTCGATCCATAACAGTGGTATCAGAGCTTGCGATCCTTGGATTGCAAGCTTCAATTCACTGACAAACATGGCTGAAGGTACCCGAATGAAAAGCTTTGAGGAGCAACTCAGGAAACAAGATGTCAGAATCCAAGCAGTCCTTGACTCCATGGTTGCAGACAAGCAAGTCATGGAAGAAAGACTGGAGACAAATCAAAGGGAGATGCGAGCATTAATGGAGGCCAATAATACAGAACTGAAAAACTTTGTGAGTAATCAAATTAGCTCAATTTTGAGGAGTTTGCAAGGTGACAAGGGAATCTTGGGAAATCCTACTGGTTCTGCAGATCGAACTCCTAATCATCGAGCTACTGGAGTTCAAAATGTCAGGCATGGTGAATTTGGTAGTTCATCTGGCCGAGAGGGCCAGCATTGGCCCATGGGGGTTCCCAGGCTGGACTTCCCCAGATTTGATGGCCATAGTCCCAAGGAATGGATCAGGAAGTGTGAAAAGTTCTTCCAACTGTTTCGCACTCCTGAAGAACAACAGATTGACTTGGTGGAACTACACTTAGAAGGCAAGGCAAATCTCTGGTATCAGAATTTCAAAAAAGATCGAGGAATAGTTCATTGGAAGGATTTCAGTTTGGAAGTATGTAGGAGGTTCAGCACTGTAGGGGAAGCAGATGCGGTGGAGGAGTTCAGCAAGCTTAGCCAATCATCCACTGTTTTGGCTTATCAGGAGAAGTTTGAAGAGTTGAGGTCCATTGTAATGATCCAGGTGCCAGAACTAACTGAATCTTACTACATTGCTAGTTTCCTAAGTGGATTGAGGGGGAAATTAAGTCTGCTGTGAAGATGCATAGGCCAGACTCTCTACAAGCTGCCTTTGAGATGGCCAGATGGCAGGAGCACCATTTGGAGCTTGTTCACAAGTTCAGCAGGACCACACTCAAGAGTACATTACACTCTGGCTCCTATGGTCTTACCAAGGGAACGCAGGGAGTCCAGGATCCAGGAGCAAGGCAGGCTAGTACTTCGCCCACAGACTACAACAAGAGGTCCAATTCACAGCAAGTTTTTAGGAAAATTTCTCCTACTGAATTCCAATACAGGAAGGAGCACAACCTATGCTTTAGGTGTGGAGACAAATTTACTCCTGGACACACTTGTAAGAGCAAGGGGATCCACATGATGTTAATAGAAGATGAGGAAAAAGGTGAGGCAGAACAAACAACAAAGGAAGAGGAAATTATTGAGCACATGGGGAACCAGCAGGAGCAAGATGTGATGTTGACCCTGCATGCAATGACAGGGGAATTATCTTCAAGTGTCATCAAAATGCAGGGGCAGTACAAGAATCGTCAGCTGACAATCCTACTGGATGGAGGAAGTACCAACTGTTTTATCAGGAGATCAGTGGCACAGTTGTACCCAGAAACTGTGCAGAAGCATAGGCCTTTTAAGGTCAAGATTGCGGATGGCAAAGAGCTGCACTGTGACCAGTGGATTCCAGGAATGCAGTGGGATATGCAGGGCCACACATTTACACATGATGTATTTGTCATGGACCTGGAACCTTATGATATGATCCTTGGGGTGGATTGGATGAAAACCTACAGCCCCATTACCTTTGATTTCAAGAGACTAAACCTGTCTTTTGAGAAGGGAGGAGAGCAAGTGGTGTTAAAAGGAGACTCCAACAATGCAAACGTTAGAATGCAGCAAGGCTCCACAGCTCATAAATATGTCAGACATAGGATCAGGAAGGCTCTGCAGCACTCTTGTATGGTGAAGGTTCACAACTCACAGGTAATTTCTGAACCAGATTCTCTTACTCAGTTGTTGGCCAAGTATGATGATGTCTTTGCAGAACCTAAAACTCTTCCCCCAAACAGATGCCATGATCACCAAATCCCCCTTAAACCAGATGCCAAACCTTTCAAAATTTCCCCATATAGGTACCCCCATGTACAGAAAAATGAAATTGACAAGCAAGTGAAGGACATGTTAACCTCTGGTCTTATACAAATTAGCCACAGCCCCTTTGCATCACCTGCTCTCTTAGTTAAAAAGAAAGATGGGAGCTGGAGGCTTTGTATTGATTATAGACAACTGAACAATCTTACCATCAAAGATAAATTTCCAATCCCTATTATAGATGACTTACTGGATGAGTTACATGGAGCCAGGGTCTTCTCTAAGATTGATCTGAGATCAGGTTATCACCAAATCAGAATGAGACCTGAGGACATCCATAAAACTGCTTTTAGAACTCATTCTGGACTTTATGAATTCCTTGTAATGCCATTTGGCCTGACAAATGCCCCCGCCACCTTTCAAGCACTAATGAACTCAGTTTTTGAACCTTACATCAGAAAATTTGTCCTTGTGTTCTTTGATGACATTCTGATCTATAGTCCAGATTATAAAACCCACTTACATCACTTATCCTTAGTATTAGGAACCTTGAGAAAACACTCCTTGTATGCAAAGATGTCTAAATGTTCTTTTGGTCAAAACCAAGTGGAGTATCTGGGACATGTTATTACTAGTGAGGGTGTGAATACTGACCCATCCAAGGTGGAGGCTATGCTGTCCTGGCCAACTCCTACTTGTTTGAAGGCCCTCAGAGGATTTTTGGGCCTAACAGGGTATTACAGGAGGTTCGTCAAGGGGTATGGAGGAATTGCTAAGCCTCTCACTGAGTTACTGAAGAAGGATCAATTTGCTTGGAATGCTGTTGCAGAATCTGCATTTAAACAGTTGAAGGAGGTCATGAGTAAATCTCCAGTATTAGCATTACCTGACTTCTCAAAACCATTCCAATTAGAAACTGATGCTAGTCAGTCAGCTATTGGGGCTGTTCTGATGCAACAAGGGAGACCTATTGCTTACTACAGTCAAGTGTTGGGCCAGAAGAACCAGACCAGATCCACCTATGAAAAAGAACTCCTATCACTCATCACAGCAGTTCAAAAATGGAAACATTACTTGATGGGGAACCACTTTATTATAAAGACTGACCATGAGAGCCTTAAATACTTCCTGGATCAGAAAATAAACACTCCTCTTCAACAGAAGTGGCTGGTTAAACTTTTGGGGATGGATTATGAGATCCAGTATAAGAGGGGTAAGGACAATATGGTTGCTGATGCATTATCAAGGAGGGGAGAACAGGAGGAGTCAGCAGAAACGTTTGTACATGCCATCACTACCATCAAGCCTCAATGGCTGTCCATGGTAGCTGAGAGCTACAATGGTGATGACATGGCAAAGGAGGTTCTACTGAGGTTGGCCATGGGAGCTGAAGCATTACCTGACTACTCTTATAACCAAGGGATTTTGAGATTTAAAGGAAGGATTTGGGTAGGAGCAGATGATGGACTAAGGCAAAAATTGATTTCCTGTTTTCATGATTCTTGTCTTGGAGGTCACTCTGGGAATCATGGTACTTATCAGAGGATCAAAAGCTACCTATACTGGCCTGGAATGAAAAAGGAGGTTGAACAGTATGTACAGAACTGTGATGTCTGCAAGAGAAGTAAAAATGAGAATTGCGCTTATCCAGGACTGTTGCAGCCATTGGCCATTCCTGAGCAAGCTTGGCAACAAATTTCCATGGATTTCATAGAAGGTTTGCCTAAATCTTTTGGTTGTAATGTCATCTATGTGGTGGTAGACAGATTTACTAAATATGCTCATTTCATCCCTATGACTTCTCATTATACTGCTAAAAGTGTAGCAGAGACATTCTTTGATCAGATCTTCAGGTTACATGGCCTACCAACACACATTGTCTCTGATAGGGATAAAGCCTTTACTAGCTTGTTCTGGCAGGAACTCTTCAAGATGCTTGGCACAGAGCTAAATCTCTCTTCTGCATATCACCCTCAGTCTGATGGACAGACTGAGAGGGTTAATAGATGTGTAGAAAGCTACCTGAGGAGTGTGTGTATGTATCAACCAGGGAAGTGGAGGAAGTGGCTTCCTGCAGCAGAATGGTGGTATAACACTAACCACCATAGCAGTCTACAAATGTCCCCTTTCCAGGCCTTATATGGTTACAAACCTATACAACTGAACCTGAGGCCCGATAAAACAATAGTAGCTGCTGTGGAGGATTGGGCACAGGAAAGAGTAGGCTGGAATTCCTTGCTCAAAGAGAACTTGTTTAAAGCTCAGAACAGAATGAAGCAAATGGCTGATAAAGGGAGGAGTGACAGGGAGTTTATAGTGGGAGAGTGGGCTTATTTGAAGCTCCAACCTTACAGACAAACCTCAGTAGCCGTAAGGAGGAATTTGAAATTGACTGCTAAGTACTACGGGCCCTATCAGGTGGAACAAAAGGTGGGGACTGTAGCATACAAGCTGAAGCTACCTGCCGGATCCACCATACACCCTGTTTTTCATGTTTCACTGCTCAAGAAGTCACCAAAGGAGGCTCCAGTCAGCACTACCTTGCCTACCTTGAACGCAGATAGTGAGTTTGAGGTTACCCCTTTAGCGGTGTTGGATAGAAGGACAATCTATAGGAAGGGGCAGGGAGTCGAGCAAGTGTTGGTACAGTGGGAAAACATGGAACCTGAGGAAGCAACTTGGGAGGATTGGACGTTCATTCATGCTCAATTTTCTTCCTTCCAAATCAATCAATCCTAGAGACTAGGATTGTTTTAGGGGGAGGTATTGTTATGGCCTGAAATCAGTCCAAATTGTCATGCACAAATGACTGGGATGAGTCAGCAAGGGAGTAGCACCAGAAATGTGATAGCAGGAAGAGAGTCACGTGGATTAGCAATTGGTATAACAGAATGAAGAGTAGTTATTTGGCGGGAAAAGTAGTTAGTTACTAGCAGGCTGTTCTTGAGCTCAAAGCTAAGATTTGTATAAATAATTCATCTGCAATTGCAGGCAGGGCATGTAATACGTTGTCCCAAATTTCTTTCCTAATCAATTCAATCCTTTCCTTTCCCTCTCTATTCCCTCTCCCTTATTTCTGATCTCATTCTCAATCCCTTTCCTCTTCTTCCCCTCCCTACCTCAGATATCTTTCAATTCATTTAGTTCGATCCATAACATAGTATGGAATGCAAATAATTATCTGACTACAATAAACTATTGAAGATTACCTTAGAACCCCAATTAGTCCCTTTCTCATAATTGCAACCTGCCAAACGATCAGCCAGCTCCAAAATATGCTTAGACTTAATAGAACTATTGACTTCATGATCAGGGCTCAGCTGGGGCAATTCTGGCTGTACAAAAAATGCCTTTGATGGACCACCAAAGAAAGCTCTTCTCATGAAAAAGCATCCAGACCCCATATTATCAGGGCCTAATAATCCATCCATCCCCTTTGGGTTGATGTGAAACCAACGTTTCATCTCGGATGAATAGATGTCATTCTTGTTTAGGCCATTGAAACATTGAGGAAATTGAACATAGGCCAATTTTGGCCTAATTGAAGTGTCCATGAAGTAGCATAGGACATTATATGGAGTTCTGCGGTCATTTGAGATCATGTCGCAGTCTTGGATTAGAATTGTAGGACCATTTGTCATAACAGCTGATACACGAAGCTAAAGAGCAGATCAAGGGGAAAAAAACAAAAAAAAAAAGAGAATTTAAATTTGAAGAGGTTAAAACGAAGATTTGAGGTCACACAATCCGTAAAGTCAAAACAAGTACACCATGGTAAGAAAATTAAAAATTATAAGTAGCTTACCGATGATTCACACAATGTTTACTAGTATGATTGAACCATTCAAACCTAGCATATGAGTTTGAGGTCTTAAGTTCGAGTCTCACATGAGTTTAGTCTAACTTTTTCAATCTCATGTTCAAGTTTCGCGTGAGTTTAATCTAGCTTTATGTTACTATTGGCCTAAAAAGAAAACTTTATGTTACTATTTCTCCTATTATTTTTTGGGTTGATAAAATACTATTGCATGAGTTCAGTCTAACTCTATGTTAGTATTTATCCTACCATTTGTGAATTGTATAAACATTAATGAGTCAATTTAGTCTAATTATCCCACTATTTTAGGGTAAGTAAAAATGTTTTGAGTTTAATCTGTTTACATTAATTTCACCATTCTATATAAATTGCAATCTTATAGAAGAAAAGAAAAGGTAAATTTTTCAATTACTTAGCTTACCAGCGTATTAAGGGCTTCAGCTTTAAATTGATGTGGAGAAGTCCTGCTTTTCTCTCTAGACACATATATGAGATTTGGCATTGGGTAGCCTGTTACATCTTTATCCTTGCAGCTTTCAAGCAAAACCTGCTCAAATTCATGCAAATCTAAAAATGAAATAACATAACTGTTACTTTTAAAATATCATCAATTCATCATAGTCATGTAAATTATTGATCATGGCATTCTTTTTTTTTTTGAGGCTTTACACTGTAAGAATAAAAAAATGAAAGTCAAAAAATTTCTTGCATGACCTCAAAATTTTGTTTGTGACTTTGTATTTTGTAAAAATGCATATTGCGGTTTTTTGGCCCGATAGTCTGGACCAGTATTAGATTCTTATATTTCAACTCTGACATGGTTGGGCGAGTTCTTCTCCATGCTTGTAGTGCAATTTGTACCTCTGTAAGACCAACATTGCCATTTCTTTCAAAGAGTATCACCCTCTTACTTGTCTATAAATACCTCTATAACTAATAATCATTCATTAGCATATATAACACTCTCTTTTTAATCTACCTACTTTATTTTTGTGAACTTAAGCATTGAAGTAACCCAGGATATACTACTCCATTTTGCACTCTCCTAGCTTTTTGTCTTGTTGTTCTATTTGAGAAGGGCCTGTTCCAATCAAACCTTATCAGTAGGAATGGACGGAAAAGAGTTTGGAAGGGAACTGAAACTCAAACACACTAAAAGTTTCAACATTTTGAACATAGAGCCAAGTAAAAAAAAAAAAGTAAAAGAATCTGTATCATTTACTGCAGTTGTCTTTGGATTTGAATTGCCATGTGATTCACTAAAAGAAAATAGTTGAATTAATGGATAGCTTTCCAAAATGGAGAAGAATTTCCTTTAGAATTCAAAGTAACAAAGTATGTTGAAAAAAAAAATTTAACACTTTTTATGATACGATGTATGTGAGACAAAAGAATAGTTAGAAAGATTAAAAAAATGGTTGAAAAATGTGGTATGAAAAGATAATTTAAGTCACAAATCTAGAATCATGAAAAGATATAAAATCCTACCCAAAAAAAAAGAAAGAAAGGATAATATGACTATATCTAGCTCTATGTCCTTAAACTTGTGACAGGATGTCAGCCTGTGCAATAATAAAAACCTGTTCAAACTAAAAATAATTTCTGTAGATAGCGGTGAACAGGGTCGAATCCACAGGAACTGGGAGTAATTGTTTCTTTTCAAATTCACAGTGATAAGGGGTGTTTTTATATCAGGGGTGACAATTTAAGCAATTCAATTAAAAGTAAAATAATAAAAATAAAATAGCCAACTAGAAATTAAATAACAATTTACTAAAATCAAATGAGTGATAATTAAGGATCTAGCCAAGAAATAACTTCAGCAATGGTTCACCTAATTGATCATCGATGCAAAGCCAATTCCAATTATTTACCAATAAATAGGTTATAACTGCCAAACAAGCGATGACAGTCAACCCCTCCTTATTGTGTCGGTGATTAAGGTACGCCCGTTAATCACTGCTCTAATTGAGAAATAATCTTAGGTACGCCCGTAAGATTTAATTCCTCAATTGCCTTACGTATTAGAGGAGTCCTATTCTAACCAAATAACGTACTACCAGGGTTATTTTAGGTTAGCCCGCGTATCCCCCTGACACAAATCTAATTATGCCAGTTGTCACTATATCAAGACAATTAAACAATTACGGATTTAATGCCCTAATTGGCAATAGATTACCAAATTAACTAATTATCTGGATCCAAGATAATCAATTAATTAAATAATCATAAGCACTGTAACCAGAGAATATGCGAATACCAATAAATAAAAGAAAAAGATAAAATTAAATCAATCTCACAATTTTCAGGCGAATCAAAACCTCCGTTGTTCCTTGACTAGAAAAGCAGATTTAATTCATCTCGGACGCGAAAAACCCATACAAAGCGAAAGTAACAATTGCTGCCTTTGTCATTAATCGGGAGAATTCAATTTGCTTGAATTACGAAAGAAAGGTCAGCCACAGCGATTGATTCAATTGCTTTCTCATTGTCCCGGTCATATGAGAAGAAAACCACTAAGGAACGGAAGAACCGAAAAAGTCCGAGTGAAAAGCTAATCTAAAGCTAAGAGAGAAAAGTCAAAAGCTAAAAACAAAGTAGTGCTCAGTGTCTGCCATATATCAATTGCTCCTATTCTAATGACTACTGTGCGGCGTCCGCCGCCCAGCCCAGAGAGGAAAAAGAGGAGACTTCGGCCTCCTCTTTTTAATGCTGTCCTCGGGCCAATTACCAAGAAGGTCCAGGTTTGATATTTCAAGAGTGTCTCTAGATGCTTGCTACTTGAACTTTTTCTTGATAACCGTCAAATTGATCTTGATTGTGATATTTTTGTTCTATCCTCTGAAATAAATATAAATTACGAAAAGTGAGTAGTATCTAATAATTAATTATATCAGGTCAGATAATAAAAAAAATTAATAATAAAAAAATGATAAAATTACAACCTATCAACTCACTAGATAGTGAAATGTAAATTCTAGCAGTATTTAGTGTAAATTTCAAAGTAAAAGTTTAGGCACTCGTTAAAATACAAGTAACTTATCAAAGTAAAAGTAACTCACTCGTTAAAACTATGAGGAACCTGTGAAATCAAAGGCTTAGAGCTTTTAAAATTTCTTATCGTAATTAAACAATTTCAATTAAATATAGAACATTAAAATGACATTAGCATTTGGGAGCTGCTGGGTGATATCAAATTAACAATGCATAAAGCCTTTTTTCAATTCCATGGTCCATCACCAGCTTGGCTTTTTTGGCTCTAATTCCCAATCGTTAGAACTCGGCAGCTACTGGGTGATACTAAGTTATTAATTGATGCATAAAGCCTTTTTCAATAATATACATTTTATTTCTTAAAAGTTCAGTAACTGTAAAAAAAAATAAAAATAAAAAAAGCCACATAACATACATCATATGGATTTTGATACAATTAATAATCATGGGATCCTAATCATTTGTTTACCCAAACGACAAAATATTATTTAAAAAAAATATGCAACGTACTTCATAGGTACAATTATTGGAGTTCTAGCCTCACGATCAGGAACATTCTTGCTATGCAACATTGATAGGCATGAATTGCTGTCATTTACTTCACAAAAATTCGCAGTTGAAGTTGTTAATTAGCTAAGTTTTTTGGAATTTATTGAAAAAGGTGGAGTGACAGAGAGGATCCACTTTCCAGCTACCATCAAAATCGTTGATCTCTCAAGCAAGCATGGAATTTGATGAGTTTCAATGTCAGCAACAGCAGCTTCAATTACTGTCATATGCAACTTCTCCTACTCATCAATTACTGTTCTTGACTTTTCGTTCAATTATTCTAATAGCTCTGCTGCTGATGGTTATGGAAGATGCTCGAAGCTGAAGATACCACGTGCAGGTTTCAATTCAATCACAGGATCTCTTCCTGATGATATACATCAGGTGTCAACTCTGCAAGAGTTTTTCCTACAATATCACTGAGGCTTTGGATGTTCTAAGCAGATGCAAGACAGATACTTCTTGCAATATAATCAGTTTTCAAGATTGCAATCTGCTATATATCTGAACGGAAATAACCTCATTGGAAACGTTCCTGTCAGTATTGGTGATTTGAAGTTTATTCACGTCCTCGAGCACAGTCACAGCAATTTTCACAGGCAGCATTCCTGACACAGTATCTCAACTAATTATTAACTTGGAAAAGCCGAACTTTTCTGACAACTCTCTTTTGTGGTGAAATTCCTTCATCACTGAACAAACGACACTTCTTATCTTTTTTTCAGCGTGGCTAACAATAATGTACAAGGCTCAATACCCACTGGAGGTCAATTTGACACATTCTCAGAACAAAGTTTTGAAGGAAATCCAAATTTATGTGGTCCAGTTCTTCAGCGGTCTTGCTCTGAATTCTTATCCACCAAATGTAAGCGTACAGATGCAATTCTTCAGAACACACATAAATTTCAGAAATCATAACCATATTTTGGCTCATTTTTGGTATCTCTTTTGGTATTAGTTTCACTGTTAGTTTTATAATTTGAGGCATATTATCAAGAAAGCATCCCCCAGGATCCGGCTGCAGATACATTTTTTTCCACCTCTAGTTTTCAACCACTAACTCAGGTGCTAAATGGGGCATCCAAGACCAGCCTGGCTTTACATATCAATGGCTGTAAGACTCTTTGTTCTTGGGTTGATGTGTGCTTACTATATAGAGAAAAGATGTGGTAATGAATCTTACTGTAAGAAATGAGACGAGGTGGTAACAGTTCTGATCACCACTTCACAATGAGTAATTTCTTAGTGATTTTTCGTCAAGGGCATTGACATTTTATTCAATAATTTGATCAAAAATGACATATGTATTATTGCACAATATGGTTGTATCATATGATATACAATATGGTTGTACAATACTGGTCCTTTTAAACCTTTATGCTGATGATATAAGAATTCTAACTTTCAGGATAAGATTACCATACATTTCCAAACTCGATTGGATAGGCAGATTTTATTTTTACACAGGATACATACTCTGCATCATATCATCTTCTGCAGATGCATGATAGTGCTATGTAGGAAGGGGGGAGGGGGGGGGGAAAGGTATTGATGGGGCACCGCAGTCTGCATTTAATAGGAGGCAAGATACCTGCAAAAATAAAAAACATCATCCAAGTTCAACATATCCGGTTCACCTATTAATTTAACAAGAAAAGAAATGGACAAGAAGTTCACATGGCCTACATTGAGTATCAACATGTAGATATCAACCTGGAAATAATGAGCATTGTTGGCCTGCATTGAGGATCAACATGTAGACATTCTCTTGCTAGTTTGAGAATGGATAGAAGACTCTCTTCAATTTGTCGATTGGGAAACAAAAGTCTTTTGTCTAGCAAGACTTTTAATTCTATCTCTTCAAGCTTTGAAGACATTAGATTAGCAATCAAGTCGCCAGGATGCTTTCCTTTGATTACTTCCATTGTCAGGACCCCAAAGCTATAAACGTCACACTTTTCGTTAACTTTCATTGTGTAGGCAAATTCTGCAAAAGAGAGTTGGAAAATGATTTTTCATGATATGTGATCATACTTGAATTTACTAGTTAACAAATTAGTGACAGGAAAAGGAAAAAAAATAACTTTTTTACCTGGTGCAACATATCCATATGTGCCTGCAAGAGAACTCCAGTTAGATGAGTCTCTTCTGAGAAACTTGGCAGTGCCAAAATCTGAAACATGAGCCTCGCATTCTGGATCAAGCAAAATGTTGTTGCTTGATATGTCTCGGTGTATAATTGGTGGTGAACAATCATGATGCATGTAAGATAAAGCATGAGCGACGCCTTTGATGATATTCAACCTCTCTTGCCAGTCTAGTTCCTTAGCTTCTTCTTCTA